CCCCTTACCGGTCAAAAAAAAAAAAAAAAAAAAAAAGAAAAGGGTAAAGAACTACTGATCCATGCAAAACCATGGATGAATCTCAGAAATTTTATATTGAAGGAAAGAAACCAAATACAAAAGCACACATGCTGCACGATTTCATTAATATGACATTCTTTTTAAAAGCAGTACTAATCTATGGTAATAGAAATCAAAACAGTGGTTGCCTCTGAGGTGGAGGGGGCAGTTGACTGGAAAAGGTCCTGAGAGAGCTTTCTGGGAAATGAAAATGTTTTATATCTGAATCTGGAAGGTGGTTACATGGGTATATATATTTGTCAAAACTCACCAAACTGTACTCTTAAGAGAACAGCATTTTACTTTTTATAAATTGTACTTCAATAAAGAAAAATTTAACCATTAAAAGAAAAGGAGGGGGAACTGAAGTTCTAGAGTCTCAGAATCTGGAAATAATTTAGGGTTTATGAAAGCTGTTTAATATGAAAGACCCCCATGCTATGGGAACCCTAAATGGTTTTATGGAAGTCACAAAATTAAAAAGGAATACTAACAGAGCAGCCTTGATGCCCAACAAAAACTACTTCCCATGGCCCTCTCTTGGGTTCCACATTTTACCACGTCATGTTGCATTTCATTTCTCAAGCTGCTGCAGAAAGTAGCCTGGCCCCCACCCCAGCTGAGGTGAGGAACTCCCTGTGAGGAGGCAGGGCCAGACTCTGCCCTGGGCAGCTCAAGGCCACGCTCAGCATGCTTCCTGCTTTTCTCCATCCTCCGCTCTCTGGCAGAAGCAGCAAGGAACGAGGGCCTCTCACCTGGTAACTGGACACTAACAGCACATGTGGACCCATTTGAAGGTGGACAGTGAGCTGCTTTGAGGCATGGAGAACACAAACCCTGGCATGAAGCAGTGACTCAAGTGAAAGGGCTTTGATTCAATTTGGGGAATTCAAGGATGACACCTTAAACTGCGGATTGAACTGAGGGGTGTCATGGGTTGAATTGTGTCCTCACCAAAAAAAGATAGTTGAAGTCCTAACCCCCAGTACCTCAGCATATGACTTTATTTAGAAACAGGGTCTTTATAGAGATAATCAAGTTAAAATGAGATCATGAGGCTAGGCCCTAACACAGTATCACTGGTGTCCTTATAAAAAGGAGAAATTTGGACACTGAGGCAGACACCACAGAGGGAAGACGATGTGAAGGTGCACAAGGAGAAGATGGCTATGTCACTGTAGTGATGCCGCTACAAGCAAAGGAACACCAAGGATTGCCAGCAAACACCAGAAGCTAGAAGAGGCAAGGAAGCATCCTCCTCCAGAGCCATTGGAGAGAACATGGTCCTGCTGACACTTGATTTTGAACTTCTAGCCTCTAGAACTCTGAGATAATATTTTTCTCTTGTTTAAAGCCACCCAGTTTGTGGTACTTTGTCATGGCAGACCTAGGAAACTAATACAAGAGAATAGAGAAGAAAAAAATATCATAAAAAGGAAAGATATGGNGAACATGGTCCTGCTGACACTTGATTTTGAACTTCTAGCCTCTAGAACTCTGAGATAATATATTTCTCTTGTTTAAAGCCACCCAGTTTGTGGTACTTTGTCATGGCAGCCCTAGGAAACTAATACAAGAGAATAGAGAAGAAAAAAATATCATAAAAAGGAAAGATATGGGGCAAGAGAGAAGCACCTAAGAGATAAATATTAGGGAAGTTCAGTGAATGCTTGTGTTTTTCTTAAGCATGGAAAACATAGATGTGAGGAAGATTTCTGAGAAGAGCCTCCAGAGCCCTTACAAACCCCCAATTATATAAAGTTGTAATCCCAAACAATGCAAAACAAAAGCACACCCCTACACAAAGGCTGGTCTGTACTGTGTCCAAGTCCAACATTTGGAGATGGCCAGTACAGGTCACAGGTAAGTCCACTTCACAGGTGAAGACAAAGACAAGTACACAACTGGGGCAACTGGGGACAGCAGTGTTTCAAGTTCCACTTTCTTTTTTTTTTTTTTTCTTTTTGTCTTTTTTCGTGACCAGCAACGGATCGCAACCCT